GGATGGATGGGTGGGTGGGTGAGTGAATGGTTGGATGGATGAATGGATGGATGGATGAGTGGGTGCGTGGGTAGGTGGATGGATGGGTGGATGGGTGGGTAGATAGGTGGATGGATGGGTGGGTGAGTGGGTGGGTGGGTGGGTGAGTGGATGGTTGAATGGATGAATGGATGGATGGATGAGTGGGTGGGTGGGTAGGTGGATGGATGGGTGGATGGGTGGGTAGATAGGTGGATGGATGGATGAATGGATGTGGGCGGGTGGGTAGGTGTGTGTATGGGGGGGTGGGTGGGTAGGTGGACAGGTAGGTTTGTGGATGGATGGATAGGTGGGCAGGTGGGTTTGTGGATGGATGGATAGGTGGACAGATAGGTTTGTGGATGGGTGAGGGGTGGGTGGGTGAATTACTGGATATATGTGCAGATTCTTAGTTTCATTAGTTAAGTTCTTTAAGAGACTTACCCATCCATATTTTGATATTACATGTGTTCTTTTGTATTCCTGTGGGGGGGGGATTCCCTCCTTCTAGTCTTTTTTTTTTTACCCTTGCATACAATCTGCTCAATAATTCCATCAGAAATTTTGATCTAGGATGCTTCTTTTCAGTTAAAGCAAGTTTAAATTCACCTGTGGAAGCTTACCTTTCTTCCTCCCTCCCTCCCTCTCTCCCTCCCTCCCTCCCTTCCTCCCTCCCTTCCTTCTTCCCTTCCTCCCTCCCTTCCTTCCTTCTTTCCTCCCTTCCTTCCTTCCTTCCTTCACTTTCTCCCTCCCTTCCTTGCTTTCACCTTGGCCAAAGCCGATGCTGACAACATAGCTTCCAGACAGCAAAGGGTCCTAAATTCTTCTCAGAAAAGAAGAGGAAAAAGAAAAACAGCCCTGTGGGATTTTCCAAATGTCAGGTCTCTTTTGTTTTCCCTGGCATCACTTCCTGGATTTCTACTTAACTGCCTTTGAACAGTCTTTGAAATAGCAAAGACCAAGTCTAGGGTGAAGAATCATAAATCCTGGCTTACTTTTAAGCCATGAGATTTTTTTTCCCCCTCCAATGATGGAATCAATCAGGAGAAGGGGGAGACAGGGGGAGACAAAGAGGGTCTAATGAAAAGCCTTTAAGTGGAGGAAGGAAGAAGGGTCCATCCTGCAGATTCTGATCCTCAGAACTTTCTCCACTAAGTATCTCCCCACACTTCGCTTTCCTTTGCCGGAGCAGCGATTATTGCTGCACACCAGCCCGTGTGCCTGATTACACTGGCATTCAAAACACTTTGTGACAGCTCGTCTGATGGAAAAATAAAAATCACT